AGCTCCACACTTCTGACTCTCCCAGCATCCCACTTCTGTCTCCCCCAGCTCCCACTTCTGGCTCACCCAGTTCCGCACTTCTGACAGGAAGTCAGCACCCCACTTCTGACTTTCCCAGCATCCCACTTCTGGCTCCCCAGTATCCCACTTCTGACTTTCCCAGCATCCCACTTCTGGCTCCCCAGCATCCCACTTCTGGCTCCCGAGCATCCCACTTCTGACTTTCCCAGTATCCCACTTCTGACTTTCCCAGCATCCCACTTCTGACTTTCCCAGCATCCCACTTCTGACTTCCCCAGCATCCCCGCATCCCACTTCTGGCTCCCCAGCATCCCACTTCTGGCTCCCCAGCATCCCACTTCTGACTTCTGGCTCCCCAGCATCCCACTTCTGACTTTCCCAGCATCCCACTTCTGACTTCCCCAGCATCCCACTTCTGGCTCCCCAGCATCCCACTTCTGACTTCCCCAGCATCCCACTTCTGACTTCCCCAGCATCCCACTTCTGACTTTCCCAGCATCCCACTTCTGGCTCCCCAGCATCCCACTTCTGACTTTCCCAGCATCCCACTTCTAACTTTCCCAGCATCCCACTTCTGGCTCCCCAGCATCCCACTTCTGACTTCCCCAGCACCCCACTTCTGACTTTCCCAGCACCCCACTTCTGACTTCCTCAGCATCCCACTTCTGACCTCCCCAGCACCCCACTTCTGACTTTCCCAGCACCCCACTTCTGACTTTCCCAGCACCCCACTTCTGACTTCCTCAGCACCCTACTTCTGACTTTCCCAGCACCCCACTTCTGACTTTCCCAGCACCCCACTTCTGACTTCCTCGGCACCCTACTTCTGGCTCCCCAGCATCCCACTTCTGGCTCCTCAGCACCCCACTTCTGGCTCCCCAGCACCCCACTTCTGACTTCCTCAGCACTCCACTTCTGGCTCCCCAGCATCCCACTTCTGACTTCCCCAGCACCCCACTTCTGGCTCCTCAGCACCCCACTTCTGGCTCCCCAGCACCCCACTTCTGACTTCCTCAGCATCCCACTTCTGGCTCCCCAGCATCCCACTTCTGACTTTCCCAGCACCCCACTTCTGGCTCCTCAGCACCCCACTTCTGGCTCCCCAGCACCCCACTTCTGACTTCCTCAGCACCCTACTTCTGACTTTCCCAGCACCCCACTTCTGACTTTCCCAGCACCCCACTTCTGACTTCCTCGGCACCCTACTTCTGGCTCCCCAGCATCCCACTTCTGGCTCCTCAGCACCCCACTTCTGGCTCCCCAGCATCCCACTTCTGACTTCCTCAGCACCCAACTTCTGGCTCCCCAGCACCCCACTTCTGACTTCCTCAGCACCCCACTTCTGGCTCCCCAGCTTACCACTCCTGATTCCCCACCTGTCTCTACTTCTGACTCCCCATACTCTTACTTCTGACTCTCTGTCCCCTACTTCAGCTTCTTCAAGATTACAAAGTGAGTGCTTAACTCTTTAAGTGCTAGGTACATCTTATCTGGTAGTCTAAAAACAATGTACAATGTAAGTATTCCTTACTTAGGATGACACAGTTTATCTCAATGTTACGGAAGGTTGTTAATATTTTTTCGATTCAATATCCTTAGAGGTGTCATGGAAAGAATGTTATGTGCTGATAAAGAGAATCAGTGTTTAAAAAGTTTGCTTTTCGTGTACACTAAATCTAGCTAGAAGAATTTGAAATTGTCTAAACAAAGTCAGCCAACAAATTACTGTCCAAGTACCCAGGCTACACAGAGGGGGTCACATGGGAATCAGTTAACATTCACAGCCTGAAACATTGGATAATGGATAATACTGAACAACTCAAACCTTGGATATGAATAATACTGAACAACTAGAACCTTGGATAATGGATAATACCAAACAACTGGAACCTTAGATAATACGGAAAAACTGGAACTTAGATAATGGATAATATCAATCAACTGGAACCTTGGAGAATGGATAATATGGAACAATTGGAACCTTGAATAATGTATAATACTGAACAATTGGATAATAGTAAACTGGAACCTTGGATAATGGATAATACAGAATAATTGGAACCTTGGATAATGGATAATACGGAACTGGTACCTAGAATAATGGATAATACTAAACATTAGAACCTTGGATAATGGATAATACTGAACAATTGGATAATGGATAATACTAAACATTAGAACCTTGGATAATGGATAATACGGAACAATTGGATAATGGATAATACTAAACATTAGAACCTTGGATAATGGATAATACGGAACAATTGGATAATGGATAATACTAAACATTAGAACCTTGGATAATGGATCATTATCAACAAAGTGAGCCCTCAATAATGGATCATAATGGACAAATAGGACCTTGCAAAACTTAGCATAAAGAAAACACCTGGATCCATCACCATAAACTCAAAGAAGTAGGACTTGCGATGAAGGAATTCAGAACAGCCTGGAAGTTTGTATCTGTAGTTTCCCGTTCTCATACTGCACTGATCAGTTGGAGTACTGGTGCTATGTTTCTCTGCGACATTCACAAAATAGAGACATAACATATTCTAGAGAAGGTGCCCTTTGTATCTGGTAACACTACAGCTCTCACGCACAGGTAGCAAGTAATTGCACAGTAACCTCCCACCCTTGTTTACCACCACAAAGACTACACTACTGTATTTCTCTGTACAGTTCAGGTTTCACAGAAACTCACTGATTGTTCCTTGAATACTTGGATTTCCTTCTATGTAATTTGAAAATCCCAATATCTGAGTTTACGTAAGCATTATGAGTTTCAGGTAAGTATTATGAGTTTCAGGTAAGTATTATGGCCCATCACAATCACACTGTGGCCTATTAAGGCCACTGCCACCGTGACAAGGTTTAATCTTGGCAGTGTACAGACACCATTAGCTTCACACTCATTTGGCAAAGGTGGACACTAGCTACAGTCCTCTTGATGGGCCTGTTATTGGCTATTGTTGCCAGACACATCAGCTTACACATGTTAGGGTAGGGTTTAGTTTAGAAAGGTCTGGCTAGCTATTCTCCAAACGTTTGTAGCCCTACAAACTTCTCAAGCCCATTCTTATAACACATTGGCTACGATCAAGGTTAGGGTGAGGTGAGGTGAAATTTGGTTTAACATCGTGCTTGAGAATATTTCGCTCATATGACGACGTGCATGCATGTGTATGTGTTTGTACTAGCCCAGACTGAAGCTGGTTTTATAGTGTTAGCCCACTGAGATACCTTGCCGCAGTGAAGCATTTGATACCCCACTCAGACACATTATACTGACTCCGAGCCAACCAGTCCTTGTTGTACCCATTAATGCCGAGCGCCAGGCAGGGACCAACAAGTACCATATTTTAATGTTTTTTGGTATGACGCGGTTGGGGATCGAACCAGCGACCTTCCGCTCTCCGGGCGGACGCTCTAACCACATGTAACCCAAATGTAACACCATGTACTTAAATGACCATCTTGTGGGCCATATAACTAGTAGGCTACAATGTCTGTCATCCCTGGTTGGTGTATGAAGTCACATGTTGCATGTCATGTGAACAATGAAGCTTGTAGCCAGTATCTGTCTTGTTAATGTTTATGCAGGATGAAAACATCTGTTTTTGTTTCACCATGTCTGAAGTTTATGTCTGGTTTAGTATTGCAACTATGTCTGGAGCATGTATTCAGAGTCTGTGTCGTCTTGAAACTGCATCTGTGTCCCGAGTCTTTTTCTATAGGCTGTGTTCAGCTTGTATGTGAGTGTGTCTGTATCGGTAATCTGTGACTGTCATCTCTGTCTGGAGTCTATGACTGACATATGTCTAGCGCCTGTGACTGTCATATGTGTCTGGTGTCTATGACTGACATATGTCTAGCGCCTGTGACTGTCATCTGTGTCTGGTGTCTATGACTGACATATGTCTAGCGCCTGTGACTGTCATCTCTGTCTGGTGTCTATGCCTGACATATGTTTAGTGCCTGTGACTGTCCTATGTGTCTGGTGTCTATGACTGACATATGTCTAGCGCCTGTGACTGTCATCTGTGTCTGATGTCTAAGACTGACATATGTCTAGCGCCTGTGACTGTCATCTGTGTCTGGTGTCTAAGACTGACATATGTCTAGCGCCTGTGACTGTCATCTGTGTCTGGTGTCTATGACTGACATATGTCTAGCGCCTGTGACTGTCATCTGTGTCTGGTGTCTATGACTGACATATGTCTAGCGCCTGTGACTGTCATCTGTGTCTGGTTTCTAAGACTGACATATGTCTAGTGCCTGTGACTGTCATCTGTGTCTGGTGTCTATGACTGACATATGTCTAGCCCTGTGACTGTCATCTGTGTCTGGTGTCTATGACTGACATATGTCTAGCGCCTGTGACTGTCATCTGTGTCTGGTGTCTATGCCTGACATATGTCTAGCGCCTGTGACTGTCATCTGTGTCTGGTGTCTATGACTGACATATGTCTAGCGCCTGTGACTGTCATCTGTGTCTGGTGTCTATGACTGACATATGTCTAGCGCCTGTGACTGTCATATGTGTCTGGTGTCTATGACTGACAAATGTCTAGCCCCTGTGACTGTCATATGTGTCTGGTGTCTATGACTGACATATGCCTAGCGCCTGTGACTGTCATCTGTGTCTGGTGTCTATGACTGACATATGTCTAGCAACTGTGACTGTCATCTGTGTCTGGTGTCTATGACTGACATATGTCTAGCGCCTGTGACTGTCATCTGTGTCTGGTGTCTATGACTGACATATGTCTAGCGCCTGTGACTGTCATATGTGTCTGGTGTCTATGACTGACATATGTCTAGAGCCTGTGACTGTCATCTGTGTCTGGTGTCTATGACTGACATATGTCTAGCGCCTGTGACTGTCATCTGTGTCTTGAATGTATATTGGGAGTGTGTGTGGAGCCTTGAGTATCTGACTGGAGTCTGCTGCTGACAGACCTCAGAGATATTCTTACCTTAGGACTGAGGTCGTAGAAGGAGTAGTACTTGAACTTGAACAGGATGTAGTCGTTCTCCCTCACGCCCTGCTCCATCAGTGACCGGGAAGAGTCCAGCCATCTGCAATGGGCCACAAACAACATACTAACATTCAAAAACTTGGGCAATTTAGAAACAAGCAATGAATGCAATAAACCAATTAAAACAAGGAACCTTCGTTGGGATTACTATAAGAACAGGTCCCCGACAACCAACCCTCTTTTAAAAAGTCACCTATATACCCTTCTTGTAGCAAGTGACCTAATATATCAAGTACCCGAGATTGGAGACTTGTTTGGTTGCATTTCATCATGTCTTACGTCATGGGTCCTTGCTCACAACATCGACCACTGGTTTGTGGCTTCCACACTCAATCATCATCACGCCTATGTCATATAGGTGGACCACTGCTTTGTGGGTTCCACACTCAATCATCATCACACCTATGTCATACAGGTGGACCACTGGTTTGTGGGTTCCACACTCAATCATTATCACGCCTATGTCATATAGGTGGACCACTGCTTTGTGGGTTCCACACTCAATCATTATCACGCCTATGTCATATAGGTGGACCACTGCTTTGTGGGTTCCACACTCAATCATTATCACACCTATGTCATATAGGTGGACCACTGCTTTGTGGGTTCCACACTCAATCATTATCACACCTATGTCATATAGGTGGACCACTGCTTTGTGGGTTCCACACTCAATCATCATCACGCCTATGTCATATAGGTGGACCACTGCTTTGTGGGTTCCACACTCAATCATTATCACGCCTATGTCATACAGGTGGACCACTGCTTTGTGGGTTCCACACTCAATCATTATCACGCCTATGTCATATAGGTGGACCACTGCTTTGTGGGTTCCACACTCAATCATTATCACGCCTATGTCATATAGGTGGACCACTGCTTTGTGGGTTCCACACTCAATCATTATCACACCTATGTCATATAGGTGGACCCCTGCTTTGTGGGTTCCACACTCAATCATTATCACGCCTATGTCATATAGGTGGACCACTGGTTTGTGGGTTCCACACCTCATCATTATCACGCCTATGTCATATGGGTGGACCACTGCTTTGTGGGTTCCACACTCAATCGTCATCACGCCTATGTCATATAGGTGGACCACTGCTTTGTGGGTTCCACACTCAATCATTATCACGCCTATGTCATATAGGTGGACCACTGCTTTGTGGGTTCCACACTCAATCATTATCACACCTATGTCATATAGGTGGACCACTGCTTTGTGGGTTCCACACTCAATCATTATCACACCTATGTCATATAGGTGGACCACTGCTTTGTGGGTTCCACACTCAATCATTATCACGCCTATGTCATATAGGTGGACCACTGCTTTGTGGGTTCCACACTCAATCATCATCACACCTATGTCATATAGGTGGACCACTGGTTTGTGGGTTCCACACTCAATCATTATCACGCCTATGTCATATAGGTGGACCACTGCTTTGTGGGTTCCACACTCAATCATTATCACACCTATGTCATATAGGTGGACCACTGCTTTGTGGGTTCCACACTCAATCATTATCACGCTTATGTCATACAGGTGGACCACTGGTTTGTGGGTTCCACACTCAATCATTATCACGCCTATGTCATATAGGTGGACCACTGCAGCAACAACCAAGCAACAAGTTAACCAATATCTGTATGTTCAATGGTTTTTATAATTATACGACAGCCAGACATTATCCATGAACACTGAAATTAATTAAATACACCCAGTAACCAGAACGTCAAGAATAATTAAAACAAGAAACGGCAAATTTGGTTCAGCCATTATGGTACAAGGCTAATCAGGAATGTATAAACAGGGTTTAATGACTTTTACCTCTCTTGATTCCCGTAAACAAACTTATCAGTTATCAGCTTCATGGCTCTGGTTATCACAGACTTAAATTCCAAGTCAGCCAGCTCTTCAAACAGTGTTTATATCATTCTTTCAACAAAATTTGCATTCAAATTACAGATAACAGCCTTATCAGTTTGACAGATTTTCCAAACTTCAGCCACAGTGTAATATAACCCCAATAATGAGACTACCTGCTACTCATGAAAACAAGAGCTATACTGTCCCACATTGTCTCAGGTGATTCCGCAGAATGACCAGGGTGTTTTGGCTTTCAGACAGATTTCCTGCACTCTCAAGGAATGGAATGCAATTAACAGATTTCAATCTGCAAGCAACATGATTAGTCAACTTTCTTTTAAAGCATTTCATGGCTACCTGTGGTTTGTCTGGAGGTACAAGTTGTATTCTCATACTAAGATTTCAATTTTTCAATAATTTGCAAGCGTTTAAATATCAATGACAATGACTTTAAAAGTGTTAGCTTTTATTCAGATTTGGCATTTAACACATGACTTGGCTCTGTTAGTTCCAGGGCTGTAAGCCCCTGTACATTATTCCCTATGTGCGAGCGGATGCTCCAGTGCACCCATGTGAGGTACCTGCTCACTTTACACACATGCTTGTGTGTCTAATGACTGAACAACTTCCAGATGGGCAGTTACTGATAATTCTCTGCATGGGAGGTGGGGCCATTATTTCAGTAAATGAGAACAACTGAACAGGGATAGTTTGTGAAATATCCACACAAACAATTCAACCAGTAGTAATAATCTCAAGAGTATCGGTGTTCAGGAGCTGCTCTTTAGATCAAAGACTGATTGAGAATATCTAGAAAACTGTTTAGCACCACCACCGTGCTTTGTGCATTTGGATCAGTCCATCGTTGGCAAGTCGTATCTTTTGATGAATTCCATCTTTAAACATTTACCTCCCCTCTAAACTATTAACCCGTGGAGGTCCGGGTTAGAATATTGATCTTCAGCAACCCATGCTTGTTGAAAGAGGCAACTAACGGGATCGGGTGGTCAGGCTCTCTGACTTGGTTGACACATGTCATAGGTTCCCCATTGCGCAGATCAATGCTCATATGCACGCTGTTGATCACTGGATTGTCTGGTCCAGAATCGATTATTTACACACCGCCGCACATATAGCTGGAATATTGCTGAGAGCGGCATAAAACTAAACTCACTCACTCACTCTAAAACTATTTCATATCTATCAGTCTGTCAGATTTATTGTACAGTAGCTGCACTTATTATGAACTCAAAGAGATTGTTTTAACTGTAGTTTGTCCTACACATTTCAACTAAAACATACAGCAAGTAACCAGGACAAGAAAAAAGCGAAAACAATTTGTTTTATCATTATAAGCGTGTTCATTATAGACATAGTTTACTTTACATATCATCCCGATCAGGAAGGAACTTGAATATTTCAGGTTTGATAAACAGAATGTATATAATCAGCGTGAGTTATACTTGTGTTATACCATCTTAATAAAACCATTTTTACACATTCTTCAAAAAATTTACATTATTGGTGAGTTTTCAATAAATGTGTGAATCTTACGCGCAGTTAATCCTCGCTTTTTCTGTGAAGTTCTTTGGTCTGTACAAGTACTGGAAGGCCTCCTTGGCCGCGACTGGGGGACTGTTGGCCAGTGACGACTCCATCATACCCTCAAAGGAGAGGCTGTACATGGACCCCGGGGACATAGTTCCGTTAAACGTACTGTACGGGGACATCGACGACATACTGTGGGGGCTGCGGATCAGGGTATTCTGCAACATCATCATCATTATCATTAACAACACTGTCATCATCATCATTGGATAGTTCCCCACAGTCACCAGCATGAACTCAGCAGAGACCATGGAAGTTGAGGGATCCTCGTCCTAAGCCATATTCTACAAGCTCCAGAAATAATGAGATCCCAAGATCAAAGGACTACAGCAGAATAATCCATCATCATTATTTGCAAGTCTACATTTCAGACTGAAAATTGACTTTGACATTTTACTTTTATCTCTTAAACTGCAGATTAGCACAAAAACATGGAAACTAGAGATCCAAACTTCAAGAATCTTAATAATTCATAGTAAGAAAGACTGTAGATTCAGACCCTTGAACATTACCAGGAAAAGACAACAGTGCATGACATAAACCTCATCATGACACCATGAATACTTGTTCATGACAAGGCTTCAATGGTTCTCAAACAGGTAGATTCTGAATAACTATAATACTGACTAGAAGTACAGACACCAAATATTGCAGTGATACTACACTGATTCATATAATGCCAACCAGTAGTGTATCTAGGTTACAGTAGGTCCCCAGCAACCCTTCCTGATTGTCACAGGTGACAAAACCAACCAGGTAGTCACACATGGTGACTACATTCACAGTGTTGCCAAACCCACAGTGTTGACACTTACAAACAATATCCATCACTGGATTGTCTGGTCCATTCTCAAATATATACAGGCCACTGTCATATAGCTCAAATATATACAGGCCACTGACATATAGCTCAAATATTTACAGGCCACTGTCACATAGCTCAAATATTTACAGGCCACTGTCATATAGCTCAAATATATACAGGCCACTGTCATATAGCTCAAATATATACAGGCCACTGTCATATAGCTCAAATATTTACAGGCCACTGTCATATAGCTCAAATATATACAGGCCACTGTCATATAGCTCAAATATATACAGGCCACTGTCATATAACCCAAATATATACAGGCAACTGTCATATAGCTCAAATATATACAGGCCTCTGTCATATAGCTCAAATATATACAGGCCACTGACATATAGCTCAAATATTTACAGGCCTCTGTCATATAGCTCAAATATTTACAGGCCACTGTCATATAGCTCAAATATATACAGGCCACTGTCATATAGCTCAAATATATACAGGCCTCTGTCATATAGCTCAAATATATACAGGCCTCTGTCATATAGCTCAAATATATACAGGCCTCTGTCATATAGCTCAAATATATACAGGCCTCTGTCATATAGCTCAAATATATAGGCCTCTGTCATATAGCTTAAATATTATGTGGCATTTTTTTCAAATGCAACATCACATAAAGTTAACAAACATCATATACTGGTGTAAGGGTAATTTGATCTATCCCCCAAAAAAGTGTATCCAATATTCAACTAGGGTGGGGCTGACATTGTAACAAATTGCAATATATATATATATGGCTAAGATCCCTTATAATGTATGTACCGAGGGTGATGGTCCCATGGGACTCCGACTGGGGTAGGGGCTGAGTTTCCCATCCAGGCTTCCTGATGAAGACTGGAGAGTTCCGTTAGCACTGAGTGTTCCAGATACATTAGATTCTCCATGTTTCTTTTTCCGGACTGCCTCCTTGACTACGCGCTTGAGGTCATCCTTGTCCATACGGACCATGAGAGACACTTCTTCTGGGTGGCGGATACCTGTAACAGAGGGAGGAGGGAGGGTAACACCTGTAGTTGTTCAGCCAGATACACCTGTAGTGGTTCAACTTGATACATTGGTAGTGGTTCAACTAGATACATTGGTAGTGGTTCAACTAGATACACCTGTAGTGGTTCAACTAGATACACAGGTAGTGGTTCAACTAGATACATAGGTAGTGGTTCAACTAGATACACTGGTAGTGGTTCAACTTGATACACAGGTAGTGGTTCAACTAGATAAACCTGTAGTGGTTCAACTAGATACATTGGTAGTGGAACTTGACAACTAGATACACCGGTAGTGGTTCAACTAGATACACAGGTAGTGGTTCAACTAGATACACTGGTAGTGGTTCAACTAGATACATTGGTAGTGGTTCAACTAGATACATTGGTAGTGGAACTTGACAACTAGATACACCGGTAGTGGTTCAACTAGATACACCTGTAGTGGTTCAACTAGATACACTGGTAGTGGTTCAACTAGATACATAGGTAGTGGTTCAACTAGATACATTGGTAGTGGTTCAACTAGATACACTGGTAGTTGTTCAACTTGATACACCTGTAGTGGTTCAACTAGATACTCTGGTAGTGGTTCAACTAGATACACAGGTAGTGGTTCAACTAGATACATTGGTAGTGGTTCAACTAGATACATTGGTAGTGGAACTTGACAACTAGATACACCGGTAGTGGTTCAACTTGATACACCGGTAGTGGTTCAACTAGATACACCAGTAGTGGTTCAACTAGATACACCTGTAGTGGTTCAACTTGATACACCTGTAGTGGTTCAACTTGATACACCGGTAGTGGTTCAACTAGATACATTGGTAGTGGTTCAACTAGATACATTGGTAGTGGAACTTGACAACTAGATACACCGGTAGTGGTTCAACTAGATACACTGGTAGTGGTTCAACTAGATACATAGGTAGTGGTTCAACTAGATACATTGGTAGTGGTTCAACTAGATACACTGGTAGTGGTTCAACTTGATACACAGGTAGTGGTTCAACTAGATACATTGGTAGTGGTTCAACTTGATACACTGGTAGTGGTTCAACTAGATACACCAGTAGTGGTTCAGCCAGATACACCTGTAGTGGTTCAACTTGATACACCGGTAGTGGTTCAACTAGATACATTGGTAGTGGTTCAACTAGATACATTGGTAGTGGAACTTGACAACTAGATACACCGGTAGTGGTTCAACTAGATACACCTGTAGTGGTTCAACTTGATACACCTGTAGTGGTTCAACTGGATACATTGGTAGTGGTTCAACTAGATACATTGGTAGTAGTTCAACTTGATACATTGGTAGTGGTTCAACTTGATACACTGGTAGTGGTTCAACTAGATACACCAGTAGTGGTTCAGCCAGATACACCTGTAGTGGTTCAACTTGATACACCTGGTGGTAGTGGTTCAACTAGATACATAGATACATTGGTAGTGGTTCAACTAGATACATTGGTAGTGGAACTTGACAACTAGATACACCGGTAGTGGTTCAACTAGATACACCTGTAGTGGTTCAACTTGATACACCTGTAGTGGTTCAACTGGATACATTGGTAGTGGTTCAACTAGATACATTGGTAGTAGTTCAACTTGATACATTGGTAGTGGTTCAACTTGATACACCTGTAGTGGTTCAACTAGATACATTGGTAGTGGTTCAGCTAGATACACCTGTAGTGGTTCAACTAGATACATTGGTAGTGGTTCAACTAGATACACCGGTAGTGGTTCAACTAGATACACCAGTAGTGGTTCAGCCAGATACACCTGTAGTGGTTCAACTTGATACACCTGTAGTGGTTCAACTAGATACATTGGTATTGGTTCAACTAGATACATTGGTAGTGGAACTTGACAACTAGATACACCGGTAGTGGTTCAACTAGATACACCTGTAGTGGTTCAACTAGATACATTGGTAGTGGTTCAACTAGATACATTGGTAGTAGTTCAACTTGATACATTGGTAGTGGTTCAATTTGATACACTGGTAGTGGTTCAACTAGATACATTGGTAGTGGTTCAACTAGATACACCTGTAGTGGTTCAACTAGATACATTGGTAGTGGTTCAACTAGATACACCTGTAGTGGTTCAACTTGATACACCAGTAGTGGTTCAACTTGATACACTGGTAGTAGTTCAACTTGATACATTGGTAGTGGTTCAACTAGATACACAGGTAGTGGTTCAACTAGATACACAGGTAATGGTTCAACTAGATACACAGGTAGTGGTTCAACTAGATACACCTGTAGTGGTTCAACTAGATACACTGGTAGTGGTTCAACTAGATACACAGGTAGTGGTTCAACTAGATACATTGGTAGTGATTCAACTAGATACACAGGTAGTGGTTCAACTAGATACACAGGTAGTGGTTCAACTAGATACACAGGTAGTGGTTCAACTTGATACATTGGTAGTGGTTCAACTAGATACACCTGTAGTGGTTGAACTTGATACACCTGTAGTGGTTCAACTAGATACACTGGTAGTGGTTCAACTAGATACACTGGTAGTGGTTCAACTTGATACACTGGTAGTGGTTCAACTTGATACTCTGGTAGTGGTTCAACTAGATACACAGGTAGTGGTTCAACTAGATACATTGGTAGTGGTTCAACTAGATACACCTGAAGTGGTTCAACTAGATACACTGGTAGTGGTTCAACTAGATAAACCGGTAGTGGTTCAACTTGATACATTGGTAGTGGTTCAACTAGATACACAGGTAGTGGTTCAACTTGATACACTGGTAGTGGTTCAACTAGATACACTGGTAGTGGTTCAACTAGATACACTGGTAGTGGTTCAACTAGATACACAGGTAGTGGTTCAACTAGATACACTGGTAGTGGTTCAACTAGATACACTGGTAGTGGTTCAACTAGATACACTGGTAGTGGTTCAACTAGATACATTGGTAGTGGTTCAACTAGATACACCTGTAGTGGTTCAACTAGATACACCTGTAGTGGTTCAACTAGATACACTGGTAGTGGTTCAACGAGATATTTAGGTAGTGGTTCAACTAGATACACTGGTAGTGGTTCAACTTGATACACTGGTAGTGGTTCAACTAGATACACAGGTAGTGGTTCAACTAGATACACCTGTAGTGGTTCAACTAGATACACTGGTAGTGGTTCAACTAGATACACATGTAGTGGTTCAACTAGATACATTGGTAGTGGTTCAACTAGATACACCTGTAGTGGTTCAACTAGATACACCTGTAGTGGTTCAACTAGATACACTGGTAGTGGTTCAACGAGATACATAGGTAGTGGTTCAACTAGATACACTGGTAGTGGTTCAACTTGATACACTGGTAGTGGTTCAACTAGATACACAGGTAGTGGTTCAACTAGATACACCTGTAGTGGTTCAACTAGATACATTGGTAGTGGTTCAACTTGATACACCGGTTGTGGTTCAACTTGTTCAACTAGGGGTGTCACCATACACTTGCCAGGACCTCAAATACTGATACATAATGTGATACTTGAGAGAGGACATGATACATATTGTAATACTAAAGTGGCACCATTTCAACATGAAATACTCCAGTACTACACCTGTTTGATGGGGTATGCATGTTAGACAAAGGCATGGAATCAGTTGCACTAAAACAACAGCATACACAGGTAGTGGTTCAACTAGATACACCTGTAGTGGTTCAACTAGATACACATTTATGTGTGAAATGTATCTATATTTCTTGTACCTACTGTGTAAATATTTGTAGCTTATAGAATATTGCCACTGTTTCTTCATGGAATGCTATGCAATAAATATCTTATCTTATCTTATCTACGTTCTGACTACTGCAAGCAGCCATACACATGTGCCTGAAGATTTCTATTAATGCAGTAATCATGAATGAAAATTTATAGCCATTTCACTTCATCTGTCTATGTCAGCAGTGGATAGATATTGAGCAAAATGCATGTGTACCCCCGAATTCCCAGAACAGAAAGGAAATAAGCAAAAGAATCATTATTTTGTGATGTGACCGGTGAATAGACTGGATACATACACTGAACCATTATCTGGACTACTCAAACATTGGTAATAGGCTACAGATTTACCCTTCAAACACCTCGCTGCTGATGTTGGTTTACTCTCTAGTAATTACAAGAAACAATAAACATAGTTAGCATGGTATGTCTCCCAAAACTGGCCATTCCCACAACCCTATTGACGGGAATTGATGGCCAGTGATTAGAAGACATGGTAGCATATTAGTAGAAGCAGGTCAATAACCATCACTATGAAAAACTGCCATTACTTGGGGATATCAATCAGTCCCACTTGGTAGTTTCACATCTGACATGAAATCACTAAGCCTTCTTGTCGATAGTTTAGCAACGTTATCAATCATGTTTACAGAAACGACAGGGTCAGACACAGCAGTGGGTGAGGGAGTTCGGGTAGCAATATTCCAACAGTGTCATGGCAGAGAACACCCGAAATTGTTCCACATACTGTGAACAAGACAGGAACTAAAGAAGGAGAAGGTGAGAAATAATTTAGGAGGAGTGAGGAAAGAGTAACGCTTCCTACTATTCAAGAAATGAGAACCTCATATTCCAGGAAACCTTGATTCAGGTTTTAGAGATCTACCACTTTTCTGAAACCCATGGGGGTATGGTACAGGCAAACCCAAAATCATAATTAGGGAATATCTTGGTTTTGACACCACGATGGCAGGGGGTTTCTGCTGCCTTAAGGGACAAAACTTAACCGTGCCTCAGTCAATTTAGATACCTGTGCAAAACAAGAGGAGAAGACAGAGCTGAAGTTAATAGATTCTGTCTTTTTACATTTCCACACATTTCAATTTCGACTCATGCTTGCATGTGATTGTGAAAAAAACAAACCCGGAATACAGAGGAAATAAGAAATGAACAATCATTTCCCCATCTGTCACAAACACAGCGCCTGCAGAACACTGTCAATAG